GTTTAATTTACTGCATTGTTTATTTTATCCTTTTATTTTCTTCCTGCTCCCATATTTTTTTGCCTGAGAGCCCCCCTTTAATTTCAAATTTATGAAATTTGAAGGGAGGGGAGTTTACATTTTTTCCGTTTCATTTTCTCCTGCCTTCCTTAGCAGACACCCGTCTTTCCAAACTTAGACACATACCCTGCTGTTTACTGAGCACTGGCCCTGGTGCTGTCCCTTTGCCCCTCACAGCCCTGGCTGATGGGCTGGTTGTTCACTGGGGAGAGGCACCGCTCCTGTCCATGCCTGGCTCCGAGCACGGACACTCCCAGCACTGCCAGATGGGAAACACAGGGAGAGGAGAGCAGGGAGCTGCAGCTCTGCTTCCTCACAGGAAAAAAGCCTGGAGGGAGCAGGCCTGCCCCGGCCTTGCTGCTGCCTGGCTGTGGAGTTGGGAAGGGCAGGACAGAGCAGGGTCAAGGACTGAGCCCTGAGCCCCAGGGTGGCTGGGGCAGCTCAGGGTGTGGGACTGGGAGCATCTCCTTTAAGTTTGCACGTGCCTGCAGCCCTGTGAAAACAAATCTTACATAAACCTAGCCGGAAGCACAGCATTAATATTTAAAAAAATGACATTTAAGGTATTGGATGTGCGCTGTGCTCTCCAGCAGCGTCTCTGTGTCTGCGTGTGCGCGCTCACGCTCGGGGCTTTGTTTTCCTTTTATAGTGGATTGTTGTGTGTATGTGTTTTACTCGGGGTGTTCTGTGCTATAATAAGAAGGGGGAGGGAGCAGGGAAATGCTGCTCTGTTTATACACACTGCTGTCAACAGCGATGCTGCCTCTTCCAGACTCACATCCTCCCTGGAGCTCCTGGATCCAGGCAAAGATTCCCCCCTTGAGCCCAGGGTCCTGCAGGACTGCCTGAGCCTCTCCTCCCATTCCCTCTCCTGGAATTTGGCCCAGGGGAGTGTGGCACAGCCCCATGCAGCGTGCAGACAAGTGGATATGTGAAGGTTCAAAGGGACAACCTTGGCAAATGTCAGGGCAGTGTTTTTGCATGGTTGTTCTGCTGCTCTGATCACCAAGAGCAGCTCTGGGTGCGTCACACTGGGATTTTTGTCCACAGGGATGAAGCAATGCCTCTCTGTGCCCCTCCTGAGCTTCCCTGATACTTTTCCCAACGCATTCCACCTTTGTGAGTCTTCTGAGGCTCTGGTCCAGGTCTCAGCCTGAAATGTTACTGCTCACCCATAATTTTATAAATCTCAGGTGTAGCACATCTCCTTTCCCTCCCCCTGAATTTTGATGCGTTTAGGTTTTGTGGCAGGAGCATTTTTATGCCTCTTCTCATTTTTATTTTTTTTTCCCTGAAATATTCAGTGAATTTGCCCTTTTCTCATTCTGATATGGGCCTCAAGGGACAGATCCCTCCTATCCATCTCCAGCATGCCATAACAGCCTGGGACACGCTGGAAAAGCACTGGGTCTGAATCCACCCTTTTGATATAAATGGACATTATGCATTTTTAATAGACATGGAGCACAGTGAAACCCTTAGTACTAGCTGAGCTGGCACAAAATTCCCAGGCAAGGAGTCTTTGGAGCTGATCTCTCCCTAGGTACCTTGCAGAAAATGAGACCAAGGACAAAAAAAGGCCACGTTTCCCTTTGATTGCAGGAGCTGCTGTGTTTTGCAGAGGGGGTGGCTGAGCAGGAGCTGCCTGGCTGTGCATGAAGGACTCTGGGCTGGCAGTTCTTGTTCATCCTGTTCTTCCACAGAGAAGGTGCAGATTGCAGGGAGAGGCTGCTCAAAGCTCCTTCCTTCCAGCATCACCTTGATCTGGAGGCAACATCTCCCTGCTTTGTCCTGCACAGGCTCATTTCTACCTGAGGCAGGGGTGGAAATATATATATTACATATAAAATAGATATTATTAGATATTAGATATTAGATATTAGATATTAGATATTAGATATTAGATATTAGATATTACATATTAGATATTAGATATTAGATATGTATATATATATATATATTCCCCACTTCAGGTATCAGGAATGTGGGAATAATCCCTGTCCCTCTGATGCTGCAGCTGGGCTTTGTCAGTGGGCCTGATCATTTGTGGGTGATGTTTGATGTTTGGGTTTCCAAACTTCTCAGCAGAAATCTCTGCATCCCCTGGAGATGCACAAGTTGAAGCTGGAGTCTGAATGCTGTAGGTTCAAAGCCATAAGGTCCATGAAAATTGTGGGAATTCCTGGTGAAAATTCCTGAGGTTGCCCCACGCTGTGGATCCCAGATTGAGGTGTACTCCAGCTTCCCCCCACCAGAATGATGGGGTTTATTTATTTATTTTATTTTTTACTTTGTTCTTCCTTTTTTGGTAAAGCATAAGTAAATCTGTCTATACCTACAGGTTTCCATGGCACTGTAACCTTACAGAGAGGGAGCAGCAGGGGAGGATCTGTGGATCTGTGCACGTCCACTGTGGAGCAGGCAGAGATAAATGGGGGTGCTTGGAGGGGATTGATGTGGTTGGAAGCAGCTCAGGACTGGTGAAAGGTGCCTCATCCCCAAGCTGAGCAGTGACTTTTGGCTTGGGTTAAACTGCCCAGCTGGCATTTGGAGAGACACTCTGTGGGGTTCAGCCTGCTGAGCAGGGTCAGCTCCCAAAGGGCAGGATCAGGGGATCAGACCTTTGCTCTCCCTGTGCCCTCAAGCCCTGCCTCCCCCAAATGGTCCCCAAGGAGGAAGGGAGCATCCCTGTGTTCTGTGCATGGACAGAGGTCACACATGGGTCCTGCAGATGTCACAGCTCAAGGGCAGCCCTAGGCACATCCAGAGCCTCCTTCCCATGGGAAAATGCTCCTGCTGCCCTTTGTGCAGTGCCAGGACCCTTGGGCAGCCCCCAGGAGGGACATGGGGATGCTCAGTGTTTGGGGGGGATGGCTGAGCGGGGCTGTGGGAAGGCTGGTGCTGCAGGGAAGGGAAGCAGAATGAGGTGCAAGGAGGGCTGCCCACTGCTCCCAAAGCCTGGCTGGGCTCAGCTGGGAGCCACCAGCACAGGCACGGGCAGAGAGGAGCTGAGGGGGCTGCTCTGAAGAGATGAAAGTGGAGCCGAGCTCTGCCTGCCATCCTGAGGGCTGGAGGGGAGCTTTGCCTTGCATCCAACACATGGTCACCTTCTGAGATTCCTATGGGCAATGCTGAGCCCCCTCACCAGCCAGAGCCTTCCCACCCCATGCCATCCCATCCCATATCCCATATCCCATATTCCATATCCCATATCCCATATCCCATATCCCATATCCCATATCCCATATCCCATCCCATTATCCCATTGCATAGATTCCATTCCATGGATCCCATCCCATCCCCATTATCCCATCCAATGGATCCCATCCCATCCCCATTATCCTATCCAGTGGATCCCATCCCATCCCATGGATCCCATTCCATATCCCATATCCCATCCCATTATTCCATCCCATAGATCCCATCCCATGGATCCCATCCCATCCAATGGATCCCATCCCCATTATCCCATCCAGTGGATCCCATCCCATCCCATCCCATCCCATCCCATCCCATCCTATCCCATCCCATCCCATGGATCCCATCCCATCCCATCCCATTATCCCGCTATCCTATTATCCCATTATCCCGCTATCCCATTCCATCCCCTCTCTCCCCGGTCCCGCAGCCCTGGCTGTGCTCAGGGGGAGCAGAGCAGATCCGATTCCTCCCGGGGCCCTTCCCCGGCAGTCGCTGTCGCTGTCGCAGGTTGCGGTGCCCCTGCCGGAGCGGGATCAATTGGTACCGACCATTCCCCGAGCATCCCCTCCTCTGGCAGCCACAGCCTGCCGGCGCTGCTCTGGATACAAAGCAGCCACGCTCTGCCTCCTTCCTCCCGCATCCCGCTGGCCTCCTCCTCCTCTTCCTCCTCCTCCTCCTCCTCCTCCTCCTCCCTGTTTGCTCGCTCTCTTTCTCCCCCGAACGCCAGGCTGCAGAAGGCAGAGCTGCGAGCCGGAGCACAGCGAGGAGCTCCCCGAGGCTGCTCTGGCCGAGCGAAACGCGGGCAGGGATGCGATGAAGCAGCGCCGTGCTCGCTGCCTGGATTAAGAAAGAAAGCTTTTTTTTTTAAAAAAAAACCCCTTAAACAAAGCCAGAAAAGCACCACAAAGCCGGACGCAACAAACGAGGCGGAAAGGGGGGAGAGAAGGAGGCGGAGGTTGCTGGATGGGCGAGGAGCCGCTTTGAATCGTGCCTCTGTTCGCAGGGATTAGAGCATGAATGGGAGCAGCTTCCCGGCCGCGATGGAGACAGAAGGCGGCTCCGGCTGCGCTCACAAGGTAACTCCGGCTGCCTCCTCCGGCTGCATGGCTGAGCCGAGCAGGACACGCATCCTTTCTGCCCGGGGTGTGTGTGTGGATGCAGAGGGCAGGGCACGGGAGGGAGCAGGAGATGCTCGGAGCGGTTTTTCCCTCCCCTCCCAGCGCAGTGAAAGGGCGCAGAGCGGGTCCGGGGGGCTGCGGTGCTGGAGATTCACTTTGCCCCCGCTTTGCCCGAGGACACCCAGCTGCTTTCCCCGGGGATCGCTCCAGGAGCTCCCAGCATCGCCCTCCCGACCCTGCGTGCCCCGGGGTCCCTGGGGCTCTCGGTGGCTCCGCATCCTCCCGAGCATCCGTGCACAATGAGGGGAGGGAGGTGAGAGGCCACCCGGAGTTGCTGCTCCCCTCCCTTGGTCATCCTCTGCCTTTTCTTCGCACCGGAGAGGGATGGGATGCAGGAGGAGGGGGAACTGGAATCGCTTTCATTCGTGCCAGCAGTGCCGGGAGCCAACTTTGAGGCTGCCTAAAGGGAAAAGCTTCCCGAGTGCTGTGGTTTATTGGGGGGAGAGGAGATGGCTGAGCAAGGCTCAGAGGAGGGATGTCTGTGTTGTGGCGTGGAGCGGGAGTGGGAGGGGATGAGAACCGGTGGTTGTGAGGGAGAAAGTCAGGGCTGATCAATGAAGCTGCCCACAGATGATGCTTTCCTCTCCCTGCTGGGCCTCTCTGTGACTCAGTTCCTGGGTCTCTGACCGTGAAACTCCGAATTTCTCTCAGTCAGGGCAGGCAGCACAACTTCAGACAGGGCTGGGAGGTGCCTTTAGCCAGATGTTGGGGAAAGCCCCGAGGAGAGCCCGATGTTCGCAGCCCCTCCCCAGTTATCCCCTGCGATCCGAGCCCTTTCCTGGCCATCCCTCGCTACCTCGGGCAGGATCCTGCTGCTGCCACATCCATTTGCTCCCATTCCCCTCCTCCCGTGCCTCCAGGGGCTGCTTGATGGCTCCTGGCACGGCGTTAGGAAGCGTTTGCTTTGATTGCTGAAATAACGACGTGTCCCAGAGGTCCCCACTGGTGCGAGCACATCCTGAGCCCCAGAGTGCCACCGGTCCCTGTCAGAGCCTGGCTGTGCAGGAACGGTAATGCAGGAACATTCAGGGAGTTTGTGGCCCAATGTGAGGCACTGGCAGACACTCTGGAGTCCCTTGCACTGCTCTGCACACTCTTGGATTTTTGGTGTCCCTGAGCATCCTCCTCAGTGAGTGGATTCCCCAGGATTTGGCTGGAAGGTCACAAGGGCTGGGGTTTCCTGGCTTACCTGGTAGAGATGGGGCTGGAAGGGTGTGGAGAGGAAAATGGAGGCACTGGGGAAAATATCCTCTTTCTGTGTGAAACTCCAAACTCTGGTGTCTGTGCCAGCCTTGAGGGATGTAGATGATGTTCTGGTGAAGGAATTCAAGAATTAGGAAGAATCTTTCTCACAGCAGGGTTAATTCTGTGGTAGAAGCTTTGGAAATGGCCAAAGCCTGCAGGACAGTGGCTGTTGCTATAATGGGAAGGCAGCTGATCAATAATTTTATTTTCCTGTTTGAATATTTATGGGTGTGGGGAAGGCAGAGGAAGAAACATGCAGTCAGTGATGTTGGCTCTGGGTACGTTCCCATTCCAAAAGGATTTGAATTCCAATTCCTGGATTACAAATCCCTTCCTGCACCCCTCCATGGGCATTCCTGGGGGGATCCCTGCAGTGCCCTGACAGCTTTGGGGTGCAGAACAGGGGACACAAACCTCATGTTCTGCTTCTTCGGGTCAGAAAAGCCAGAGGGTCTCCATGAGGGTCTCCATGAGGGTCTCCATGAGGGTCTCCATGAGGGTCTCCATGAGGGTCTCCGTGAGGGTCTCCCTCAGTGCAGGAGTCCCCAGGAGGAGAGGGGCAGAGCTTTCCCACCTGGCTTCCCAGAGTTTCCCATCCCATATCCCATCCCCATCCCCATCCCATGGATCCCATATCCCATATCCCATATCCCATATCCTGTATTCCATCCCATATCCCATATCCCATCTCATCCCAGAGAAGGAATGAGTGAACAAGGTGCCCCAAGCCTTGCCGGGGCTGTCACCCTGTCTGTGCCACAGCTGGCACAGGGCAGTGCCACCAGAGCCCAGTCAGGCTCAGGGATGCTGGATTTCCTCTTCCCTGCCTGTTTGTGGTGCATCTTCCTGGGCTTTCTCTGCAGCTGTTGCACCTCTGGAGGCCAGGAGGGCTCTGAGTGCCCCCAGAGTGCAGGGCTGGGGGGGTTTCAGCATCCTCAGCCCTGCTGCATCCTCCTGGCAGCCCTTGGGGAGAGCTGGCCTAAGCTCACCAAGAATTCTTCCAGGACTGAAGTGTGAGCATGCACTCCCTCCTTGGCCAGAGCTGGCTGTCCCCAAAATGCTGCTTTCTGAGCCCAAAACAGGGCATCATCTGCCCCTTCAATCTCTTCCAACCCTCTCCTGTTGCCACAGCACCTTGGGAAATGACAAAAGCTGTCTCAAAAAGGGACACGGGGGCAAATGCTGCATTTCATTTTTCAGTGAGTTTTGCAGATTTGCCCTTTGAGATGATTTTGCTCTGTCTTGCCCTTGTTCTATTTCTACTGGCTCTCAAAAAAAAAAAAAAAAAAAGTTGTGCAAAAAAAGCAATTTTTAGTTCCTCCAACAAAACCCAGTGGGCAGATCTGAATCCAGAGGAGGACAGGATGGGGTCCTTTCTTGCATTTCTGTGCATTTTCTGTGGCAGGGATGAGCAGTGCCAGAGGCTGCCTGGATTCCAGGGCTGCTTTTCAGCAAGATCCCTGACCTCTGGGGATGCAGCAAGCCTTGGTCAGCATCTTCCTCTGTGGCCCTCAGTGGTTTCCTCACCCTTTAGGCCTTCATTTCCTGGCTCAAAAAGTTCAGTGGGCTGCACTGTAAGTTGTGTTTAGCTGGAGGAGAATTTAGTGGGGCTTTGATGTCTTGTGTCCTGCTGTGGTC